GTTCGTCGCTGATTCATTTATCTAGTCTCCTGTTCAATCTCCCTAGATATGTGATGCCTCTCTCTCTCTCTGTCTACTACTACACCGCTCCTGTGTCTCCGTGATTGCCCCTCGTTTCTCATCCTGATTTCTTATTTTCCATCTGTCACGTGTTCGTCAATCAGCGACCGTTCTAATTATTGTCGTTCGTATTATGTATTCCTACTACTAGTATTATGAACATCATTCATTCTTTCTTTTTTGCAGTCAGTCCCTTTATCAATTTCCCTGTCCTGTCTACCCGCTCGCCTGCCTGCACACAAACAGACTTGCACTGAGATGCATGATCATTTGGATGTCATCAGATCATATCGTCATTCAGAGACCTTCATACGTCACGTGACACACACACATACCTGGTGCATATATAAAGAAATATATACATATATACGTATGAATAAACACTTAGATGAAAAGATACATATTTTTCTTCCGAATCCGTTTTAAATCTTCCGAAATCTTTATGGATGCTTCCCCATCCCGCGCACAGCCGAACGCGGACAGACCCCGTTTTCCGTACCGTCCGAATTATCTTCTGTGAATCCGACCTGTTCATTCTATGATTGGAAGTTGATCAAACTTGAATGACAATCAACACGCGCTCTTCGATGCATACAAAACTGTTTCCGTCTCTCTGTCTCGCCCTCTCTTTTGGGGATCTTTCTTTTGTCACACACACACACACACAGATACAGATGTGAATACGTATTAGCTACGTGTTGTTTTCAACTCACTGCAAATTTCTCATTAGGTCTGTTTTTAAGTCAATCGGTTTCTTATGTTGCATGTGTGCCTATATGATTTACCGTCGATACGAACTTGCGCATGGAACATGAGCAATACATCACAACAGGGACCGGTGTTGTTTGCCATTCTCGTTGCCGGTGCTGTCACTCTCATCACGACATGACCACATGTAGGTTTCATCCCAATATCCATTCTCTGTGTGTCACTTGTTCCAACCTCGATTTCGCTTCAAACACACTGTCTCCCTTTCTCGAGTGATGCTCATTCCCCTATGATTAACACATATTTCAAACACACCCAAACGGGGGTGGAACACGTACCACTCCTATAATCTGATCTGTGCTCGGTCCGATTCCGGTGCGTGCGTGATTCGCCTCTTCGTCCGATCCGTGTTGCATTTATGCTATTTTCGACAAACGGTCTCGTTCATCGTTTCCCGTTGCTTCGTCCTCTTCATGCCCAATCATTCGTTTCCACCACCATCATCCTCATCACTCTCAGGACGACTGTTGACGAGCGAGTTCTTCTTCGTTCAGAACACTGTCCACTTCCGTCCATCTGTCTGCTGATTCATCCTCTAGTCTGGTTTCGCGTAACTTCTTGTTGCCTACTGTGATCTCTCCTCATTTGATTCATCTGACCCGTCTAAATCACGCCACGTTCTTCGCTGAATCCGTTCTCCCCTGATCCAGCCCACCGACTACGACCGCCCCCCATCAGTTCATGAGTCTTGTGTCTCTTTGTTTGTTTGTACATTTCCTGATCATGTTGCCTTTGGTTCCAACCTCTCTATCGCTTCACATCGACGAACAAGACATAAACAGTCTGTGATTTATGCTGCTGCTGATAACGACAAGTCCTTGTTTAACCAACCCGTCTATTTTTCCTATCTATTTTGGGGCTTCCTTGTCCAAAAACGCCTCGTCTTCACTGTTGTTTCGGTCTACTGAATGGCTGTGCCTGATCTGTCGCCCCGTTTTACCATTTCACTCAGTTCGCCGTCTCCCTGAGCACGATTGATGACGTAAGACAGGTTGGACTGTCTCACATCTCCTTAGGCTGTGAGTCGTTCTCTCTCTCTCTCTCTCTCTCTCTGTTTCCGTTCGCATTCAGATTCGCGTGATTTTCATCGACCCACCCACCACTGGATAGCCTTCAGACAGACCGCGACGAATCGATCCCGCTCTCTCTCTCTCTCTCTCTCTCTGAATGCTCATTCGTTTCTTCCTGCCTCTTCTCTGTCTGCGTCTACCATCCGACTCTCACTCGGATGTGAGTGTGTGTGTGTGTGTATGTGCTTATGCACACAGTCGACAAACATACCAGCGGGAAACCTGGCCACCACATGTCCACTACCCTTGCTTGCATCAAGCTGCCCCACTCAACTCCTCCTCCGCCTGTTCCTTGCCGCAATCATTCGCTCTTTCGTTGCCCCCCGCTCTCTCTCGCCGCCGCCGCCGCCGCGCACACACATACTCCCTCCCCCCGGTCCCTGCCTCCAAACAGTCTAGCCCCGAGTATGTCTGTTCATGCGTCATTTCCCCACATGATGCAAATCTCTTTCCGCCTCTTGGCTTCATTCATTTGTGCTCGTTTGTTTGCCCGGTCGCCCGCCCATCAATCCACTCCAATCACCATTGTATTCACGAAGTCAACACAGCTGCCCGTCTGTTTTTGTTGTTCTTCTGTCTTACTATTTTAGCCGCGTTTTTGTGCCCCATGGATTCACTTATTACTTACTTACTAATCTAAACTGTTTACTTTACTTTACTCTGCTCATTTTATTTCACATTTTCCCTCACGTTAGTTTCACGTCATTCTTTTTGCCAGTTGAATTCCTGTCTATCTCTGCCCCAAAATTGTCCACGTGTCATCTGTCTGTCCATCTTTTTTTCATAATGTTGATTCTGTGCTCACCTTTGTACTGCATCCTCTGAAATACACTCCGGTCTGTGCGTGGTGTCTGTCCGTCTCTCCCACCTATCTCTATGTCTGTGCGTGCGTGATAGAAATCTATCATGGACAATATTTCTTCTGACTGCATGTTTCCAATACGTGTGATATCTTCTTCTTCTCTCCGTGCCACCCTGTTCGCGCCTCGAACCCCCCCCCC